GTGCTCAATTCTTGCTGTGCCCAGAAAGAGAATGATGTGTGAACAGTACTACATCAAAGAAGTAGCTACATCCATAAACTAATTCTTCAGTCTGCACTTAATCTCTCAAAATGCTAATTGTTATCTTACAGCTCAGTTCAAGAGAGACAAATGCAGTGTGTACTTCCTTAGACAGTGAAAATAAGGTATAAAATCAACAAACACTACAAACACACCCCTTTTCAACAAACATGACAAACACATCCCTTTACAATCTTTATACTGAAGAAATATCTTAGATGCTAATCATCCAAAACCTACATTAACCTTGTGCATTAAGACAGTGCTCGTGTTTACACTGTTCTTTCAATCCTGTAAAATAATTTCATACTGTGTAGATCAGTTTGGGTGTATTTTTCATCCTAATGTATTCAGACTTTGCAGGCTCAATTAAATCTGAAAATTATATACTCATTTTCTAAGCTTTTTTACCCCCCTCAATTACTATGCAGTTTAAAGTTTGCCATTTTATATAATGATAAAATGTAATTTTATAGTTAGTGGACAGCTCAATATGCAATTATCTGTTTTCAAAATCAATTAAAAGAGTTGTCTTCTCAAAACATGCCTGAGAAGGTCACACTGTTCCATAAAAAACTACTGTTCCAGTTACAAGTGCTTTTAAATATTCACCTTTTGATGAAGCTTGCTTCCAGGCACTGATAATTGTGCTAAATATTCAGTGTGTTAAGATATTTTCATGTGTCTAGCTGCTCTAAATGTGCAAGAAATTTAAAAAAAAAAAAAAGGAAAAAGTATTTAAATATTTGTCCAAGCAAATATTGAGGCCTGAATATTTTGAATCTAATTGTTTTGGTCTGGTGTCTAAGAAAGGTAAATGATAACATTCCAGTTATTTACAGTGAGCATTGACTATGATGAATTATTAATCTAGAGATGGAAAGGCCGAGCAGTATACTGAAGAAGGCCGTGTGGAGATGTGGGCAATTGAAGAATGAGAGAGGAGGGTGTATTTCATTTGTAGGCTGAAATGCAAATGACAACTGTCTGCTGTTAAAAAGGTGCTCAACTTCTGCAATATGCCCAGGAGAAGGTCTGCACATACCTCTTCCCTGCCTCCCAAATGGGATTAATGCTCTGGGGAGTCTTTTCTGGGAGGGAGCACAGCAGGGATGGTACTTTCCTGAACAAATTCACACAGTTTCCAGTGCAGTGTTCACCTAAGTCTGCATCCCTATATCGCACTATCTCATTTTGAACTTCTATCAGGAAATCCAGTTCTTAACAAATAATATTTCAGTGCTTTTCTTAGGACAGTGTAAGGATGATTCACTTGTCAGGAACTTACCAACAAAGGGGATTTACAACAGCAAAGGTGTGGAGAAGATAAACAGCAAAGATAAACATTGTCCTTCCTTTGAAGCAGTGTAATTTATGTAAAAATAGTGGTTTATGTGTCTTGGAGTTGCTTCTTTATTTAGCGGTGTTTACAGTCTGTGAGGTTTTGTGTTTTCAGAAATGTGGCTACCTGCATCAGGCTGTCTGCCTTTGTCTGAGCACCAGTGCGGGACTCTTAGTTACTGAAATAGCATTTTCTGGAACTGAGAGTAGTGTCAGCAGTTTGTTTCTGGCCATGCCCCCTCTTCCTCTACAACAAGCAGGTTTGTCACATGAGTTAATTTAGTAAGTAACTGCAGCATGTCATGGAAACAACCTGACCGCCTGCAGGTCTTCAGTAGTCTGTAAATTTATTTACATAAGGGTTTAAAATGCCCTCATGTAATGAAACTAAAATAGATTACTGTTAGTCTAAATTACATAGGTGACAACGTACCATGATATCCATCACATGCTACCTTTTTTAAATTATTATTAATTTACTCAGCTATGTGAAATGACAACTTATTGTTTTGGAATTGAATTTGAAAGCACCAAATGAAAGCTAAAATTGATGGGAATTACCTTTTGATCTCTTTTACACACGTGGATAGATAGATAGATAAGTATGCATGTGTATGTGTGTATGTAACTCTGTGTTTATATATATATATATTTGGAAAATAAGATAATGCCTTCATTTCTGACATGTTTAATCCTGAATTTATGAATGCTTTGGGATTTGTTTGTTTGGTTTTTGTTTGGTTTGGTTTTTTAATATGGAAAAAATAATTCCCAATTATAAATATTTATTTCTCGAAAAGGGAGTCCAGATAGTGCAAGGCAGAGGACTGATGATAGGATTGTACATAAATCCAAGGATTTGGGCTTCAGCCTTCAGCCTACTGTGACACAAGAATTTTCTGTGTGTATCTGTGCCACCCATGTGTGCTTTGGTATTTCTGCCGTTAATATAGACCTGTGTTCTTATAATTGGGTCTTGGATTTTAAATCAGCTGGAAAATGGGAAAATATTAAAGGAGAAATTAAAAAATACCAGAAGAGCAGTAATACTTCTAAGAACACTTGAGGAGTTCTATTTTCTGTAGTGTGTTAAAAACACCTAATGCACTTAACTTGGATTTTTAAAATTATTTTAAAATAAAATATGTGCTTTTAGGACGTTAATAAAAAAGCTCTGTGATCATCACTTGGGCAGTGCCTGGGTGGCTGTGTGCCAGAGAGCCAGCAGTGGGTTTGCTTTCCAGGCTGCACCTTTTGTTCCCCAGAGCAGCGGGGAATGGCAGCAATGCGGATGCAGCAGTTTAGCTCCTGGGCACAAAAGGATCCTTAATACCAATTAAAAAGCAGACTTAATGAGTACCAAAAGCAGCCCCCAAGCCAGGCCTCCTTAGCTAAAAAAAGATGGGAAAGCAACATGTTGTAGGAAATGATGGAATTTTGAAAATCCCCTAAGAAACAGGGGAACACCCTTTGCTTTCCCTGCTGCATCCTCAGCTCTCCCTCTGCTAAAAGCAAAGCTGTGTTAAAATACAGGGGAGTAACTGGTGGAACTGCCCCATTTGGAAAGTGGCTTTTAGCTAGCTGGGGGACTGTTTGTGGTCAGTGTGTTATTTCTAACTAAAATGGCACTTCATAAAAATAACAAATTGTTGGCAACCATTGCTCTTTGAATTCTATTTCTAGTTCTAGTCTCTATTTCTGTTCCTCTTGGTTGCTTTTCTCCTAACAAATCAAACTTCAGGATTGCAGCAGGAAATTTAGATTTAACCTCAAGAGTCAATGTTTTGTCTCATGTCTGCTCTAATGTGATACAGATGTTGGAACTGCTGTACGTAACTCAAGATTTTATTGAACTAGCCCTCCCTGCCTAATAGAAAACATAGCTAACTGGAGTGCACATTAAACACAGATCACTCTGAAGGCACTAAACCTGTGAATTTTAGAAATACATTCACAAAATACTTGGGATATTACTTCAATTGCTCATCCTTCAGCTGTTTGATAGGGAGTTTCTACTACGCTAAAGAAGCAGAGCTCTTTATCTTACTTGTTTTAAAAAGCAAAACCAAGAAGTAAGCATGAAAAAAAAAATGCAATACCTGAAATTATTTACAGGCTGGATATTCTTTTTTTTCTGTTCTTTGTTCCTCTCTTTTTAAAAAATAACCAGCAAGACTAAAGAGATAGATTATCTGTTGCATCCCTTTTTACTTCTCCATCAATCCTGATCTCCGCTATTCTCGGGTTTTTTTAGTTTTCCTTCTCTTGAGTTACCACTGTGGCCAGAGCATGCTAAATGTTTGGGTATGTCTTTGATGAGGACTGAACAGTAAACACTGACATTTCTCAAGACTCTACTATGCCACGTTAACCCCAGTACAAAGTCATCTGAAATCAGCTCTTTCTTCTATTTATTCATTCTTTTTCCCCCCTTATTTCTAATAATGAGGTTAAAGTTTTCTAATTTTCTGTACAAACAGTACACTGTGTTTCTTAAATGAGATTTTTTTTTAGGGCAACACCAGAAGGTTTAGCACATCAGAGTGCTTTTCTTGCACATAACCAAATAGGAATTATGTATTAATGTAGTGCACTAAACCCAATCCTCATGGCTTATAATATATGAAATGTGCTACCCAGAACATCCAAGCAGCAAATTGACCAGGGAAAAGCCCTCAATACACAGAAAGTGGTGGTGGTGGGAAAACCAACCCAAGAGCTCTACAGGGAAACATAGAGATTAAAAAAGTCTTATGTATGTTTTCACGTAGTTAGGCTGACTGAAATGGTGGCTTTTTTTGTTTGAATCTCAAACTTCCACTTCTTGCTGGAGTCTTCTTTGACCCTTGGGTGGACCAATGTGTTTTGGATGTAGGTGTTAGAGGGGGTACAACTGGGTCTTCAGGCAACTCTGGGGCTGCTGACAGCTGTGTTGATAATGCCAGGAGCAGTGCAGAGAGACACAGCGTTAGCAAAGGCAAACTCCTTGTGTTTGGGGGGTTAAAGCTGAGCTCCAGAAAGGTCACACCTGTATTAAAAAAAAAACAGTAAAAAGCCCTCACTCATTGAAATGACGGACATATCATGAAAATTAATTCATTTTAGCTATTGTATCAGCAAAACAGATCATTAGTTGACCCTTAATATACTGAATGATAAACATGTTTTCCCCCAGTAATGTGAACAGTGCTGTTTGAGGTTAATTGTCTTCCACTGGAAGGCTTTTAGTGCCAGACTTGGGTTTTTTTCTACATAGACAGCAGCTCAAGCAAAATACGGCTGTCCTGGGTCCAGCAGAGGAGCCTGTATGAAAAATAATTGGTCCTACCTACTAGCTACGTCAGAATTTTTAAAATCCTTTCTGGTCTTGTCCCTTGTTATACAAGAAAATCTGTATCAGCAACTATTTCTAGCAGCTAACTTCTGAAAAAAAAGAGGAAGGTTTTATTATTGCCTAAAGCTTCCAAATTCAGTTTGTATCCTATAATGAGTACAGGAATACCGAGTCATTTTTAAAATAGCAGATTAGCTCTGTTATCATATGAGAAAACTCTGAGGTCATCAGTGTAGCATTACATATTAATCTTTTTCTCTTCCAGGCTTCAGTTTATTTCTTTCATTTCCACAAACACTATACAATATTCACAGGTAAGTTAATTAACATTAAGTAAGTTCTATTCCCTCCCATTTAATTATGTATATTTAAGGGTTTCCTCAATTAGAAATAAATTTTATGCTTGAAATAGCCTAGCTCCTTTATCCAGATGCTGTCCTGATAACGTAGTAACAGGTTTTTCTGGTCAGTTTTCAGAATCTGACTGGTTTCTTTTCCATGTTTACAACTCTCCCCTTTTTCTTTCACTTGCCATTCTCCAGGCAGTGTCACAGTGGTCCTTCACAGTAAACTGATAAAAGCTCTGTAGTTAGAAACATTGTGTTTTAGTTGCAATCAAATGTCATTTGTAACTTCTGCCTGCACTAAGTAAAATTCTGTAGCTGATCATCCTACAGTCAGCGAAATACTTCATTGTCTTCCAGGTCCTTCTGTAAAACTGTCCTCTGTATGAAGTCTGCAGATAATTGCTCTCAGATATAAGCTAGGCAGGTGGCAAGCTGTGATTACATCTAAGAGCTGGCTTGCTCCACCTAGGAATTTTATCCACAGTTTATACTCTGATGGCCTATTTTTATTAACGCAGCCTGCTTTCCACTAGTATTTGATGGCTCATTTCACTCATTTGTCACTTGAGGTCTCTCAGGTCCTAAGTGTCCCGGAGGAGGGACTGTCACTGCCCATCTTCAGGAATTAGTGGGAATTTATACTAACATTTAAATTTTGAAGAGACTATAACACAATATCTCATTGCTCCTACACAGCCCTTTTCCAGTTGTGGTACTCAGTGTAGTTAATAAAAGCATGAACAGCCCTGAGTTTGAGGCAGGAAGAAAGGAGAGTCAGGAGATGTGGGGCAGGAAAAGCTGAGGACTTGTAGAAAGGCTGGGCTGTGGGGCAAGGGACTCTGGTTTGGGGACGACTGAGTGAAGGAGGGAAGCACCTTGTGCACGTCAGCCCCTGGCAGTAGCAGCATTTGCCCCAGTAAATATTTCAGTTTTGTTTTCCTTCCTTTCATGTCAGGAGTTTTGTTTGGTGTTTTCCTTTTCAAGTCATCATTCGACATAGTTCCTCTCAAGCCTTCCAGTGGGTTTGTCATTCCTCTGAACAGAATGGCACAGTAATTTTAAAAATCCAGTCAGGTTTGCTTGAAGGATGCACATACAAGCTCTTTGGTGATGAGGGATTTGTGTTTTCCAATCATCTCCTCTCTTTCTTCATACTGATGCCTGTTCTCGGTTCTATTTTAGGAGAAGAGTATTCTTTTTTGGCATGAGAAAGATATTTCTTGGATTTTTGTCTAGCTGTTTCTATAAATACGTATGTTCAGAGATTTTAAGCAGGACGTTTCCCAGTACACTTCAAACACAGAATTGCTCTTCTGAACTAGTGGTTTCATGGTAGTGAACTTTAGTAAATTAAACCTCCTACTCCTTTTATAACCTCAGAATGAGGTTTGTCTGAGTGAGAAAGATGCAAGATACAGGTAAAAGCTGTTGACCTTACAGTTACCATTTTCCTAAGTTACGTAAAATGCAGTAATTTACTACCTTTAATAGCACTACCTTTAAAAGCCAGCTTAAAATAGCCAAGAAAACACAATGCATCATTAATTTTCCTGTACTCTAATTAGCCAAAGAAACCTCCCCTTTAGGCTGTACTTTGACAATGGTACAGTATTGTCTAGCAGCATCACCTCTAGACCTAAACAACAGCAATACCTGTTAGCCATGTGCTTGACTCTTGTGCCACTGAAAACATGGGGTGTATTGACTGAAACAATTTCATGTCTCATAAGTTTCATGCTCTATTTTGAATTCACAGCACGCCTGTATACTTGAGAGTACTGCAACTCACTTCATGTGAGTTTAGTGGTCCATTGCCAGGCAATGGTGAGCAGGTGAAGCTGACCAGGAGCTATGTGAATAAATCAGTATAATTTAACCCCAGAAAGAAATGTTACTTGGGCATACTACAGTTTCTTGAAAAATGTCTGCACATTTGCACAGGTAGCTATGTTGCAAGATGAACTCCTGGGCTGAGTTAGGCTAGAGGTTGAAGTTACTGTGTGGAAATAGAATGGATAAATTTTCTTACTCCATAAAATTACTATATTTACTTACAGAGCACATTTAAAGAAAACACTGAAGCATGATTCTCTGTATGAAGGACTCCTACCTCTTGTGTCACCTCTGTTGCTGTTCGTTCTTCTTACAGTCTGGGTGGTTTTATCTCCAAGCAACATATTAGCAAAGCAACCAAGGCTGTTTTTATGGATGGTTGGGGTTGCTTTCTCAAATGTTATTGTAAGTATATTTGAGGTGAGATATTATTTAGAGATAGCTTATTTAGAGATAGCTTTTTATTTTTATGTGAATAAACAGAAGGGGACAAAATGTAGCTAAAATCAGCAGAGTCACTCAGCTCTTCTACCTCTGTGTTATGCTCTGTCTTATAAAAATACTCCAGAACACTTGTCTGGACTAGGGACATTTACAGTACTGAAATACCTACTCTACCACAGCATAACACTTTTATGAGGGTTCTGGGATTTTTTTTTTTTTTTTTTTGATAGTGGGTTTTTTTGTTTTCGTTTGGTTTGGTTTTTTGTGGGGTTTTTTTTGAGGGTTTATGACAACCCTAGGGAGGCCTTACTTCAGAAATATAACATACTCCCCACATACAGGCAGAATTGGGGACTTGTCAAAGTAAAAGAAAAGTCAAAACAGGCACAGATTTATTAGCAAGAGTAGAGGGGTTGTAGCTTTCCCTTGCTCTTGTGCCCATTAGTGCTGTACATGTATTCCTGTATCCTGCAGTTCAGCTGATCCTACATTTTCCCTTCACTGCTTAGAATAAGGTCACACCATTGACAGGATGTTTTAGGGAAAGATGTGAAGAGATGCAGTTGCCTCGTGATGGCTCTCTGCCCACAGATTAGTTTCTCCTATACCACATCATTGGGACCAGTTTCCCCCCTTTAATGCCTATGAGGCAACATAAACCTCCATGAAGTACCAGCATGGGCAGCCAGACAGTGGTGCTGAGCACTGCAGGTAACCCAGGGCTTTATTCTCTGGAGGAAGCCCTTTGCCTCTCTTGCCAGGAGAGTAGCCAAGCAGAAAGGTGATCCTCCATTTAAGCTAAAAATACCCTAGAGGATAGTGCCTAGTGTCATCTTAGGAAAATAGTCTCCAACACCATCTAAAACTGTGTCACTGAGCAATGCTACATGTGATTTAAAAAGTGAAAGACTTGAAGTGCCTTGCATTATGAGAGAGATCTTAAAAATGTAGGATTTTAAAAGAGAAAGCATAACCTCTCTAGAAACTTGTATTCAGGAATGGAAAAGAAATCATAATTGTGATGTTCATTAGATGTATCCTATAAACATACTTTTCTGAGGGTCACAGATCAAACAGTTCCATCTTAAGGACTTAATCTCATAAAAATGAGGTTATTTTCAGATGTGTTAAGTTTTATTGTATGCATTGTTCATTACCTAATCTACCCCTTTTTCTTAAAAGAATAGCATAGATTCCAAAATGAGAAATAAAATTATTTCATGCCACTAGGGAAAATGCTTTCAGAGTTTGGCAGATGGCAGTTTATGCATATACATCTTAGCCAACCAAGAGTGATTGTGGCAGGATGCTTGCAGAAGAAAAACAGTAAGGCAAACCAAAAGTTTCTTTATAGACTGCAGTTTATCAGACATTGAGTGGAATATATATTCTTCTAGCCTTGTTTTTCCTTTTCCCAAAACATATACTGCAGTGTTGGAGGCTCACGTGAATTAAAAATGTATGCATGTCAGCTGAAATTTTTAACATTTTAAAAGCAAGCATTAAAAATGTATGGGTGTTAGTTGGAATTTATAACATTTTAAAGTTGGAAAAACAAGCCTGTATTTCCTTTCACCTCCACTGGTCCCTTATACACACGTTTTTTCCAGCATCAGAGTAAGGCTTGTCATGGCAATACTTTTCTTCTCCTTGATAGCCTGACACACTGGGTTTCCACTATCTGCTCTGCAGACCACAAACTGCAGCCCACATTTCTCTACCTGCCAGTATCTTGAACCTCCCAAGCCTTTGACAACATATTTGGTCACCCAGCAGATCCCCTAAGCTAAATGCCTGGTCTCAGACTTCGTCTTGCAGCCACTCAGCATCAGGGCAAGTAGGGAGCGGGCAGAAAGGCAGGCTATATCCAGCATTTTTGGTTAAACTAAGGAAGTAAGTCCTCCAAGGTCTAAAAAAGCAAAGCTGCTTACTCACGAGAGGAGGACTTCTTTTCCCAGTCTCCACAGCTGGCAGTGGGACTGCCTGTGGATCGACTGCCTCTCTTGCCGGGAAGCTGACCCGGCTTTGAGATTTGTTCATACGGCAAGTGTCACAAGTATCCAGGTCCGAGCAAACCACCACAGAGCACAGCTGCCACAGCTCCCAGGTAGGAAGCCCTCAGAGGCACGTGTTTGAGTCCAGGAGGAGTGATGGAGTGGGTAAGTCCCATGGAGGGCAGTTGAGCCATCCCCATAGCAGGAGCGCAGTGGCTGACGTGGTGGCTGCCATGACGAGCTGGAGCAGCTCATGTTTCCAGGGAAAATGGTTAAGGGAGAAGACATTAAGTCCCTACTCAGGGGCACAAACCACAGCCGCTAGAGGATTAACTTCAGCAGGGCCAGGGAAGCATTGAAAGGCATAGGCGAGGGGGATGGAAAAGCACAGGGCACAGTCCCTTACCTCTTCTTTCCCATTTCCCTGTTCAGACACCAGTGCTTTCATCTCCTAATGCTGTTTTTGCCTCACTTGTAGTGTCAGTCAGTGCTTCAGGACCAAGGGGAAAAAGGAATTGAGGGAGGATCGGAGAGCATAGTCCATTTTGCAGTCCTGTGATACACTGAAGGTGAATTGCTCCAAATATTAATAAGCGATCTTTATCCAGTACTGTACTTAGCATGGCATACTAATGGTTTAAAACAATGTGAAATTCAACCTCTGGACAGGTGCAATTATTTAGCAGAAAAATTATAGCATATAGATTGCTTTAGCAATTTCTGATACCCTCTGGAATGATTCCCAAAGGACCCATAAAACTAGTGGTATTAAAAAAATTCACAATCAATACTGAGAATGCATTGTAAGTGCAAATATTAACCTTAGGTACAAATGCTTACTTCTTTCATTATTGAAAGTTAATTATTTTTTCATGGTTTATTTTTGCATTCTTCAGCTTGAACAGAACGGGCAGTAAAGCCAGTATTTTTTCCCTATGGTCAGACTCCTACTGCTGCTGTCATAAGATTTCAGGCACTGCACAGGGAATGAGTTTTTCATTCTTCTACTTTTCTCAGGATACATAAAATCTATTTTTAACCACATTTCAATTTTGAGTGAAACTTAAATGGGTAAAATATTTCTGATGTGCCTAAATTCCTTTTTATTTTTGTAAAGGGCATGGTGTATATGAGACACATTTCTTAAGGAGCCTAAACCAGGCAAAACACTTTGGTGTACTTAACTGGTTTTAAAATGCTGAACTTCAAGTGAGTTCATCTCATTAGGTTTCAAGAACTCAGTAGAATTAAGCTAATTGCTTTCAGTTAAATCATGCACCACATATTCATTTTTTCCGTCCTTCTGAGTGGGATCCCTTTCCGTGGGCCCCCAACTACATCTCCAGGGAATCTGCTGCCATGACTGAGCCAAGAAAATGGTATTTTAGTACATGAAGGAGTGCTAGAAAAGAAAAACAGGATTTGAAAGTGTCATATATTGTATTCCCTCCCTTCTATACAATGAAGCAGAAGACATTTCTGTCATGCCATGTGATTAAAATACCATTATGCTCTCCCAGTGATTAAGTGGTGGCACATTTGATTTGGGATCACAACTTTACGAGCCTCTGTAAAAACATAAGGTGGCAAACAAACTCCCCTTTTGTGAAGATGTGCTTCAGCTTATCAAGTGTGTCAAAACACTGTCTCTAGAAAAGTGTGTATTTTACATTGCTTGTAATAATGTCCTTTAGGACTCACAGTGAGGCACAAAGATGCACCTATAGTAATCTTCTCACCAGAAACAAGCCCCATTTTGAACTCTAGCCTTGTTTTCCCCTCATCCAAAGCAACCCACAGAGAAAATGGATGTACTTTTACTTGGACCCCCGGGACTGACCCAGCACTTCTCACCTGGCCCCTTTTGCTCCAACAGTGCAAGGTGATCATCTGCCAGATGAGCGGCACCCGGCCGGAGCTTTTCCACTGGTTCCTGTTGCCGCTGGCACTGGTGGTGTACGCAGCCATCTCCGGGCTGCTGGGCTGGATGGAAGAAGCTGTTCTTGCCGTGTTCACCGCCCTGGTCACGGCCGCCCACGTGCACTACGGGGTCTGCGTGGTGAGCGGGTGCCTCTGAAGCAGCCACAGAAGAGCTGCCCTGGGGTGGGCAGGAAGATGGGGTCTGGGAGCAGTTTCTAGTTGGGGCGGTGTCTGGGAGTCTGAAAGTTCAATTAGGTTTTTTTTTTGTTTTGTTTTGTTTTTTATTTAGTCCAAAGTTAAAAGTCAGTTTATTACAGGCAGTGCCTTTTTGCAACAACTCCAATGACTCGAATTGTTCCAATGTACCCAAATGGTTTTGGCTTGAAACCCATCACAATCAGAATATTTATGGACTGGTTTTATGTAGCAGCTGACCCACGTGGCATGAACACTCCCACCCCTTTTTTTGGCCTTTCTTCTTCCTGAGGTTACCTGACTGAAAAACTAGCAAGGTAAAATGCAAAGTGCCATGAATAGAATTAATAAAATAAGGCCAACTTTGCTTTGAATCTGCGGGCAAAATAGCTGTTTAATTTCTAATCTTTTCTTGGCCCTGTGTTAGCATCTCTCAAGCTAGAGACATGAACAGTTTTCCAGTTCATCAGTCTTACCAGTGCATTTTTGTGTCTGCTAGATCTCAGACTTGTCATTTATTGTCATCTGAATTACTGCTTAAATTCATTTTTACTTTGCTGATGCCCTCTTCTCTAAATTGTCAAATAATCCTTTAGCAAGTGTTTTCATGGGGATTTGCTTTTAGATAAAATACCTAGCATAGCAAAAATCTCATTTCAGAGGGAGTTGTTCAGCATTCTTTAAGACACACCATTAGGATGTAAGGATTTTCTTTGAAGGAAGACTTGTCAGCAGACATTGGTGTCATAGTAGAGTCTACCCCAGCATCAATATGGGCCAACTGGTGAGGGTCAGAATGGAAGTACCTAGTCAAAGGTGACTGTTGACTGAGAGGGCCCAGCTCCATCATGGCTTATGTCATCTGTGAATCTGGTCTGTAGCAAATTAACTTCCCATCGGTGTGATGCAAGAGGAATGTAAGGACCACAGCTCTCTTGCTTGAATACTTGCAGGTCCTTGCGTAGTTGTAGGTCCCCAAGTACACGAGGACTGTGGTTGGGTCCTCCCCCCTCTGACTGGGAAAGGAGAGGCAGTGAATTGTGAAGCACGTACCAAACAGGCTGCTAATCTCCATGATTTCTCTTTAGGGTAGGCAGCTGAGTGAGCACTTGAACATTTACATCTTTTCCCTGAAGAAACGCATCCAAGAGTGAACACCTGCACTATGATCAGACTGTAACACTTACGTGGAGATCTGCAACTCTTCTGATGTGATAAACAGTTGGAATTAATCTGATTAAAATAACCAAAGAATAGAACAGTACAGATATCTGAACCACTGCGACAATGAGCTATGCAGCAAGATGCTTCATCTCAGAGGAAGATTCCTGTCCAGCAGAGAAGTGTTTACCAAGTTGTTCTGCTGCTAACATTTATTCTCTTCTAACACTAATGCTGTGTTACTGGCCTCTCTGAAGCTTTTGTCTTCCTCCTCCTTGCCATTTTGTCCAAAGTCCTGGATAAATTCATGCCAGGTTACATAAGCTTCTCGGTGGTTTATAACCAGCACTGGTTTCGCCCAGCCTAGTCACCAGTGGGACTCCAGCAATGCAAACACTCCCTGTATGTCCTTCTCACTCAGACATCTGTGCCTGCTTCATTTTCTGTATTTATTTTCTCACAACTCATTTCTTCCATACAACCTCCTGAAAGGCTTCTGCACATTCAGTCTTTTCCTCACCTCAAATGAATGTGTGAAGACAAGAGAATGAGCTGAGAAAGCTATGGGTAAAGTGTTTTTGAAATGTACATTTTTTTTCCCATTCTCAGCATTAAGATGAGTCTCAGCTGACCTGTATCTGTCAGAAATGCAGGCTCTGTACAGCAGCAGCTGACCTTTCTATTTATTTCCTAGGCAGTAACAAGCACATTGTTGATATTTCAGTAGCAACGAGCAATATACTCTACAAAGGTAACCAGCTGAAAATAAATTTGGCCAGCAAACCTTCAAAGATTCACACATTTCACTGCGAAACTAGTTTAGGTCAAACATTGTGTATGAGTGCAAAATGCAAAACAAACCATTATTTGCCTGTGTGCTTGAAGCAAATTCTTGTGGGTTTAGAAAATGACAAAAGAAAAAAAAACAAGAAGAGCTTTTTTTTTTTCAAATGTTACACATTTGCATGCAGATGTAAACTGCTCACTTCATCTGTGATACACGTAGGTTTTCTGCATGCCTTGGAGGAAGGAGTAAGAATTTGAGTTTCATCTCTTTTCATATGCTGCCCCTAGCCAGAGGGACTTTGTGGTCTTGAAGCACTAATGAAACAATCTGTCCATTCCCCAAGGTAAGCATGAGATTACATTTTTTGCACAGAGGGATGTGATTGACAGACTGGCATATTTATTAACTATTTTGCTTGCCAGAAGCCAGGTAAAAGCACAATTGTTGAGCTGCTAAGGCTTAAGTTCACCTTTTTCAGTTCTTAGACCATTTCTCTGGGTTTATCGCTAGCCTGATCATTCTTCCCCCCCTCGATAACTTACCCTTATATCAGCAGCTCCTATTAGTATTTTCAGCTGAGCACTGACTAGTCATATAAACAGCTTCAATTTAAGCTGGTGCTGCCTGTTACAGGAGTTGTCCTCCCACAACATCAGTAGGTGATTTCCCCAGGCAGCCCTTCCTGCGGTGCCAGGGGACAGGCCTGCACATCAGCTTCCCCTCATCACAAAGCAGAAATCCACACCGACTGGAAAGGTTTCTCGTGATTTGAAAGTATGCATGTTCCACCTACCAAATGAGCATGTTGAGGGTCCCACCCCCAAATGAACATGAGACTACAATCACAGTTCAAGCAGCTTAAGCTTTGAGTTGGGCAGGGGTGACCGGTCATCCTGTTAATGCAAAGTCAGAGGTTTTTCCAAGAGCCCTGCAGGGAAGGGAGGCTCCCATGCCCTTTGGTACTACTGTGGTCCAGCTCCAAGAGACATCTTCCAGCCTTCCTCCCCACTGGTGCGGTAGGCATGCCCCTATCCTGCAGGATGCCCAGGGAGTGTGGGGTGTCCACCAAGGCACTCCCTAAGGACTCTCTCAGAATAAGTCTGAAGGCTGGTTATTTAATGAAGTTTGCTAGAAAAGGCAGTTTGGGTTGAAGGGGAATGACAAGTTTAATGTTGTTGCATGCACCCAACAGCGTCAATGTTTGATGGAATTAAACACTACATCCAATACCAGAGACATAAAAGTCTCACCTACTTTATAAAGGAAATTTATATTTCACCCTTCCATCACAAGTGTCTGGAGGAAGTTCTGATGAGAAAAAAATTAGAATACAATAAACAAAATTACCTCTAAATTGGTTGTACTGGAGAAACTCTGTAGACAGGCTTCCCTTTTATGTCTGTCTTGCACTTAATTAGGAAACAGCTGGAAATAAGGGTCACAGAAGCAGCACTATTTGATGCACTGTAATGGAGTATTTTGAAATATTCATTAAATGAAATTATAAAATTTGAAATACCACAACCTGCCTGCACTTGTACCTTTCTAAAGAGAAATACAGCGTCACTTTTTAAGGACATTAAGCTCTGGCCGAGTTTTTCACCTTCTATATGAAAACATGGCAAATAATTTATTTTTCCTTTTTAAAGGAACTTGTCACTACAATCTCTATAAAGACATATATAAAAAGAAATCATGTATTGCACAGAGTATATATTGAGTTTTTAGCCATTCTAGATGGTAGCTGGTTCAACGAACAGGAATAAAAATGCTTTGCTCATAGGGTGGTACGGTCACAGATTTATTTTGCAAAGTCAGATAACTATGTAGATGACCTAATAGTCTTAACAAAGATTTTTTTTTTTTGTTGCAACATTATGGCAGAATGTTTTGAAACTGGAAAATAGGTACCTTTTTTATGCTTTTGAACATTTGCACTAGCCCAAAGACATGCCTCCCCACCAAGTCTTACAAAAAGCAACTCAAAAGAACAGCTCTCCCAGGTTTGAACACCTGGGTTGGAAATGGGCTCCTCTATCCCTGCTTCATCCTACCCCCTCTATTAGAAACCTTCCCTGAGCGGGCTAAGCAAAAATTTGGCCTCGGCCCCAGGAACACCTGATAGCAGTGGGGCCCAGGCTGGTGGCACACAACCATGGCACAAAGGGGGCCTGAGCCAAGGCTTGAAGCCTCGGAGATTGAGCAGCAACTACTGTGGCAACATTGCTCATGCTACAAAAGATCAGAGCAGTGAGAATTACAATGAAGTTTCCCCCCTTTTATTCCAAAAAGCCTAATACTTTAATCTGAAACGCAGGCAGGTTTTAGGTACTGCACTGAAGATTCATCCTTGAATACTTGGCCACTGCAGGAAAGTCCACTGGGAGTTTCAGTGCCCTTGCTGTAGTACTCTCTTCACCTCCTGGCTGCTGCCAGTTTTGCTGTTGTATCAAAACTGATACACAAGAGATTTAGTACTCTGAAATCCCAAAGCATTTACCATAAAGAAAAATGTGCTGTTTACATGCACAGGCATACATGCATTTTCTTTTTGATTTATAGAAGGGGATACAGTTGCTGAGCTCTTGGGGAAACAGATGCTACCCACACACACACAGGATAAGTGAACTTTTGGTTTTTTAACGCAGCTGCCTTTTTCTTCCTGCTCCCATATGCAGTCCCTGATGAATCAAAAATATGTATTTTATCCAGAAAAGTATTACTTTAGAATGTTCTGAATAGTCTCTAGAGCTAGACAGATTTTAACATATATTTTTTTATTAAATATGTAAAAAGATAAACGCAAGTCAAGTTATTCACATATTCAGACAAAAATCTACTCTATCATGCGACAATTTGTGGATAATGTAAAATGACTGATACATCTGAATAAGACCTTTTTTGTATCTATTATGCCATTACTTATCTATTTATAATTAACAATACATATGTTTACATTCCTTTCAGTTTACATTTAATATATAACCAAAGCTTTATGGTGTGCTATTTAGTAAAGGTAATTACAAATGCATATTAAAACCATAACAGAAGAATGGGTTACTCACAAGGGGTGGGGGGAAAAGGACAACTCTTTCCCCTTTCAGAACACTGCTCTCCCCTCAGCACAGCCAAATTTCTAGTGCCCTCAAGGTATTTCACTGCCCCAGCTCCCTACATCAGTCACTCTGCCCTTGATACAAGCAGTGAGAGGGCTATGGTCCTCTGATTAGAAACAGGATATGAGGAATTTTCAGGAAATTAAGTGCAGCTTTTTTAAAAATTTTCTTATTTTTTTTTTTTTAATACATGCTTCAAAAGAGAGAAGAGGAGAGAGGCACAACAGCCTGGCTATGAATTGTTTGGGGAGCTCAGCAACCCCAACCATTTGCACCTTTAGAAAAATGTTTTCCCTTGAAGTGCTCTCCATGCATCTGCTCAAGTATTAGCAGAAGGATGAACGGCAGTAAGCAGAGACTGATGCTGATGAAATTAAGTTTATAGCCTGATCCCAAACTCCTTGCCCCATCAGAGATCCCATATAGGTTAAAGGACATTCTGGAATCTGGAAAAAAAATTAGTAACTGCTCTTCAACAGTATTATGAAGAACTACCATTTATTACAATGACAATTGTAATAAGTACATATGTTCTAATAAACACAAATACAACAAAAATGACAATTCCCCCATTGTGGTGATTCTTGGAAATACTTATTTTGGAATATACACATTTTTTAAATAATTAAACCAGACCTTATTTTCAACCAATTGAAATGGGAGAGGGAAGTGCTGGCCTGCAGGTTGCAAGTACTTTGACTTCATCACTGAGTAGGATGTGAAGTCAGTACTGGATTGCAGGGCTGGCAAAACTTCAGCCTGCAGGGTCCAGAAACTCTTCTGTTGTGCAGGGGGAGGATTAAGGAACTGGAAATACCTGTTCTAGTGCTTAACAGTATTTTATATATTTTCGGTGGTGCAACACAACAGCAGGGTTCTCACATTTAACTAAGAGCCACTTAGCTGCAAAAGATTGATTAGGAATGGAAAACTGCATGTGTCATGCTTGTGTGTGCCCGAGGGTTGATTAATTGAAAACCTTTCCATGGAACCATAAGCTGGGAACGTACACTTTAGGAGCCTATGAACATCTAAAATGATTTAGCTGTTCAACAGGCTTTGGAGTTTTTCAGTGAATGCCAATTGGGATGGGATTTCCACGTACCTGCTAAATCAGCATAGCAATCTCCAGTTCAGAAGATCAAGTGAGAAACCAAGAATACCAAGCATTAAATAATCAGAGAGACTACAACACACAGTTTTATGAGAAGAACAAGGAATGCTTTATATACTCCAAGATACCACTGTTTATAAAATACCATCATTTAGAACAGGGTCATGGGACCGCACTGGAAGGGAACACTCTCACTGCAGACATCTCCAGGGCCTTGATGAAGGAAGGTCAGCCCAGAGCAGAAGCTGCTCTGTCCCCTTATGTTAGATGGTCCCCCTCTTATGTGTGCCCTGTCTCCAGGACTCCTCACTGCCTCTCCATGCTTTGGAAGCAGCCTCAAACCCGTGAGGTGTCCATGACTCACTTACATAGGGTTTGGGGAGGGGTTCAGGGCTAGTGCTGTTGCTGGTTTTTCCCCATACCTTGCACTAGTGAGAAAATGTCTGTCTTCCATACTTTTATGGATGGGGCAGTGGAGGGGAGAAAGAAAGCAAAAAGAAATGGTTGGCCTACTTTGTCCTTTTCTGAGGGGTGGGAAGCCAAGGATGATGGCAGAAATCATGTCCTGCAGCTATACTTGTGTCAAGGAGATTTCTCTCCTCCATCAGCACTGAGCTCTGCGGAGGCAGAGCTGCAGCTGGAGCTGGGACTGGATTCCTCAGGAAGGAAGAAAAGCTGGGAAATGTCTGTTTACTAGTCACGAAACTGGGAGAGTTTTCAAAAAACTTAAGTGGATATCTGTTTCTCCAGAAATAAGCCAAAAAACATACCACGCAGCTTTCTAACGTAGGGGTTTAAATCTCCCATTGAAACAGATGCTCTGCCTGTGAAGGCAGGAAAGGAATAAACATGAGCAACATGAGCATTTTCTTCCACAACACACCTCATCGTTATGGCTTGAGTATGACATCCACTGTATCCCTTTATTCCAATTGTTTGACCAAATTTATGCCCCAAGGCAGATGTACTAGAAAACGCGAAAGCACCACAAAGTGAGAAACACAGCTAGTGGTACGGAACTTCTTGCCACACAAAATGCCAATATAAATATGTTAGAACAAGTTACAAGTGTATCATACTTAAGACAAAAAAGAAAAAAAATAAATATATATATTTTTAAAGAGCAGAACAAATCTCAAGCAGCCAAGTGGTGAAGTTGCAGTGATGTACAGTAGGTGATGTAGCCCTACAACCTCTTGGGAAGATACACTGAAAGAGGACGTCTGCAAATGCATCTTGGCAAAGTATTGGTACAGAATGCAGTGGTTGGCTGGCACTCACTATGGTACATAAATGTTAATGGCAGACTGGGAGTGAACTGATTTCAAGTTTGAGGCCGCACATGTTCCATTCTCCAGAAGAAAGTTCTAACACAAAACGAAAATTGTCAGAGATGCTGCATGAGTCAGTACTCATCCTGCTGCTGGGGCTGTTCATGGACTTGCTCTTCACCTTCATGATCATCTGTGTGGCTCTCCTGTAGGGAGAAAAAGACCCCAAAACATTCTTCAGTAGAAAGCACTCCTCATGTAATCCTGCCCCACGGTGCTCACTGTAGCACAAATCTTAACTTATAATTTTCATGCAAGTAAGTACAAAAGGGGCTGTTACCTAAGAAAAGCGGTCTCTTGTAGTATTACAATAAAATGCATTTACTTTACTTTTAATCGAGGCATATGCAGTACTGATATTTCCTTAGGAAAAAATGTCAGCTTTCAACATCACTGAGTGATATCTGTTCTGGTAAGCAAACCTTTTTAATAGTTAGACAGTGATATGCCAACAGTTAGATGCTGTATCATACAATACTGATATCCTCCCATTTTCAGTTTGTCCAAGGTTTTCTGAACCTGTTTGCTGTGGTTTTCACACAATCTTCACTCTGGGTTTATATCACTAAATGGACATGACACTTGTGCTATCACCTGCTTTAAAAATTAAACACAGCCTCCTTTTTGAGGTCAGGCATTCTACTTTCCCCAAAATAATACACCCATGCTAACTCCCAAAGGCTTGCATACACATTTTCTTGGGGAGGTGGGGGGGAAGAGTCCAGTATTCACTGATTTATAAAGCTACTGCCAAAATCACTAATCACCAAATAAGCACTTCCCATTTACAAATGGTTCTTATGCACCAAAGCTGTCCCTCTGAATATACATTTCCACTGGAAGACAAATCCAACTCAAGGTGATATCAGTTCAAAACAACTTCCAAGTTAGAGACAACAGACCTAGTATCCTGAGTTGACCTGGATGTTATCTGAGTTCAGAAAGTCTGGCTGACCCTTAGAGCATCCCTTCTGGATTCCCATTAAGCACAGCTGCATTTACAGCTTTCCTCTCAAGTGGTTTCCATTTTTCAGCATGGTTCACTGAAAAGATCCCTCTCCCATATGCTCTGCCCTGCATTAGTACCACTCTGCCGTTGGCAGCTCTGAAGGAAAACACTTTTCCAAGACACTGAGCTGCCATTCAAGTGCATCCCCAGTCCAGTACCTGTGCAGAACTCTCCTGGCTCCCAGCAATTAAAGTTAGAAGCAAGTGGCTTGAACAACAAACTTGAACACATTGATACTGCTAAGTTTTCAAATTTGAGGCAAAAATCAAAAGAAAAGTGAGGCCATGATTTGACTTTTTCCACAATAGTCCAGAGCAGCTTATGAAATAAGCAAATTCGCTTCTGGCAATAACATATTTGTATTTCTAAAGGGCAAGAGCAGGAGAATAAGACTCCTAATAGTTGCTGATACAATGGAAATAGTCAGCTGTTTGCCACGAACAGAAACAGGCCAATTACAACTGAAAGCAAGCTCTCTATCACTCAGGTGCCATTTTCAGGTAAAAGCCACATACTGGTCAGGACAACTGAAGTTTAGCACCTTTTGGCCCCTTGGGGGGAATGATGCCCTTATTACATACAGTAGGTACATCATGTCAAAACAGCTTTGGGCACAGTACCTAAAAACTGCAACTTCTGTGACGGGCTGCAAGGGTGCGGGACTTGCGGAGAACAGAGTTTCACAGAGAGGAGCTGACAGCTGTGAGAACGTGGCCCTGCCTTGCAGGGTGAGAAAACTGAAGCTTGTTTAATGAGCAATGTTACCTTAACCCCATCTATCCTGACCCTCCTTATGTGTTGAGGTGATCTGCTCTGGAATGCACACGTTGCACAGACTCTCTGTATGCCCAGTTTATGTGATACCCCTATTAGAAAGCCCACTCATGTGGACTTTATAGGTCACATATACATGCTCCCTTTTCATTCATACAATAGGAAAAGCCTCTAACCATGGGA